ACACGAAAGGAAGCATCCCTTCCGAGTCTTGAAACCCAGGCTAAGATGATAGGATGGGTCATTAGAAAGGTCTTCGTATTTGTAAGCAGGTGTTAAACATGGAGCCCCATGATGTGATTTTTTTTTTTTCATGCAGTCACTTTTCAAAAAAGAAATACAGAATATCCAGTTCACAAAAAAAACAAGTTATAAGCTAGCATTTTCAAGAATGGTAGCTTAGACACAGGCGCGTAAAAACATGCACAAGCACCTAAACAAGTACTCTGGCAGTGTAGCCATGTATGATGGAGTTAAAGCTGCTCAGGGAGTTACTGCTTAACTGAGTCATCAGAGCTGTGTGTTCTCTTGTCCTTCTCAATGGCAAAGTTAGGCTAGCAGGAAATATGTTTTACCTTGCAACTGGAATAGGATAAGGGCATGTAGGTGGACAATTATGATGGCTCAACTGACAAGAATTAGCCTTTTATATCTTCCGTGTCTTGCTCTGCCTTTCATTTTTAGATGGCTGATGACCTAGTAGCTCCTAGTCAGGCTAATTGTGTGTGAATCTTAAGACCGTAATTTTAGCCACTCATATAAATAAAAAGATGACTTGCTCTTGGAACTTTATGCACAGTTGATAATAGATGTATTTTATCATTGCTACAATATCAGCACAAACAGCAAGGAATTGGGAAGATCTCCTCAGCAGCATGTCTCTCTTTCCCCCTGGTGTAGAAGGTCTTGTAAAGGCATATGTTCACACTGTATGGCTAAATACCTTTATATATACACTGTATACTGTATATATATTTGGCTTGCAGCAGCCAAGATACATCTGTGTTTGTTGCAAGTACTGACAAAGTAGTATGGCATAATTGTCCCTCTGCAAGTGTCTCTCTCTGAACTATTGTTTAAAATTGCCAAATGCATCTTTGTTCTTTATTAAGAGTAAGGCAACAGCACAGAGTCTGCAGTTATCAGGAGATAATCATTCCCCGAGGGCATTTGAGGCACTTCACAACCAAAAGGTTGTGATTACTCTACGATTGCTATGCTGCTTATGGCTCCATAATTAAGCAATAAGGAATAATAATATGTTTCCTGAATGCTGTCATCTAAGTATCGTTCTCCAGTTCTTGTGTGCTGACTGATTCTGTTTTAGGTGGGCTGGGAGCATTTGTGGTGTTTTGAAATGACATGGAGGATAGTAGTGGGATGGGCCGGTCATGGCAGCTCTCTTCTGGCCCTCGGGAGACTAGGGCATTCATTTTCCTGCTTTGCCAAATGCTTGCGGAGAGGCCTTGGGCTAGTCCCTGGTTTCTGTATACCTCACTTCTACACATCTGCTCAGGTGCCACAGTAACTAATGCTGTGTAAATATCTAAAACGGACATAATATAGTGGAGTTTATCTTAACCTCTAGGTGCTGACTCAGGGAACAAGCTAGGAAGACATTGCTTTTATTTTTAGCATGTGCAAATTCAGCTGGCTTAGTTTAAACAGCCTTTGCTGGAGTACAGTGGCAGAGGGGTGAGAAAGCAAGGAAAGAGGGTATTTAATGTCTTAAAATACTCCAGCTAATTTCCCAAGACATGGCCCAAGTGGCCTGGCTGTCAACAGAGCTGGGAACTCGGTTGCTTTGGATGGCCTAAGGTACTGTTAAAATATCTTAAGCCTTACTCAGATTTCCATCTCTGATTGAATTAGGCTGATGCATTTGTGCTTCCTGGGCCTCAGTGCTGTAATGTATCACATGCAGGTGGTTTAGTACCTTTGCAGCGAGCCCACTGAAACAGGTGTCTAGTGCTGCTGTGTTCCAGAAAGGCTTTGATGTCTGCATTTGTTACTGAATCAGTGAGTCGTACTAAATTCCCTGGAAAACCAATGTATTGTTGAGGTTTCACGTTGGGAGAGTCTTGCATTTTTCTTTGGCCTTTTCCAGGCTTACTAGTTCTAGAAATCTACCTTGATGGGCTCATTCTTTTAAGTCTGTGACTTAATATGTCATTGAATCATGTAACCTAACCTAAGGAAGGAAAAACCCGTGTGGGATGTATTTTAACATTAGCCCTGATTTATGCATGTACACATTTATAAGAAGATGATGGGAGGATGGGTGATAAACGTCAGGTTCTAAACCATCAGCTAAATTTCCAGATGAAACTCTTGCTGAACTTCTTTCCTTAGATTTGTTTTTACAGTCATGAATAAGAAATAGAATTGATGAAACTCTGTTATTATTACCAGGTTGGCGTAAATTCTTCTTAATGATGTGCTTTTTAAAGCAGCGGTTGATTTTTTTTTAAATCCCTCTTTTCATTAGTGAGACACACACGTTTATAATACTTTACATCGTAGTGCTCTCTGCTAGTGTACGTCTTCTGTGCTCTGCAAGGCTCTGTATGGAATCCTACTAGCCAGCTCTTGTATCATAAATAGAATTTGTTCAGGAAATAAAAATGTATTGTTTCCATTGTTAGAGGATGCTGCTAAATTGGCTGTATGTTTGTCTAATAATCACATCTAAAGCTGATTATTCTGGTAATAGCCTTAAGATATTATTTAAAAATAAATATATAAATGCAGTACTTTTGTACTAATACTAGTTTTTAATCTCTTCTTGTTTCTATGAAGTCTGAATGAGATTTTCAAAATTGAATAATAATTTGATCCGTTAATCTTTTGAAGCTAGTAATTTTATTTTCCCCTCTTTGCAGTCTCTGAGGCTCGCAAATGAATAGAGCTTCATTACTGGAGTCTGCATTTAATAACCATTATCCATTATCTTGTAATTAAGACTCCCTGTAACGAATCATGAGGACAATGCAAAAATACATAGTACATTTCTTTAATGAACTGGAAAATGTTCATCTTGTTCTATTTAGTAATGAGTTGCTGAATAGTCGTTAAATCCACTGGAGAATAGAGCTAGATGGATTTTGAAGACTATCTTGAGTTTGTGGCTAATCTATTAGAATTAAAATTTCATCTTCTATTTTTATCAACAGCTGATTAGAAGTCATTCTGTTTGACCAAATTGATTAGAAGACCATATACAAGGGCAGCTGTTGTTTAATGAAAGTTTTTAATGAAACTGTACCAGAGAGACTTGTAATTATAAGACTTATAAAAGCTTTGACTTACCTTATGCTGGAAAAAAATGAAAAGTATTGCACTGAAGGACTTTAAGCATTACATTTCAAAAGGGAAATTAAAAATATAATTTGGCAATGTTAAAGTTTCACTTCTGCTGTTATTTGTTTTAACATGACTATCAGATGTCCATGGTGTGTCCCTGAAAGGGAGTAGCTCCGAAGTAGTAACTCAGCTGTCTCTCATATGTGCACAGTTCTTTGCAAAGCTTGATAACTATTAATTGCCTCTTTTTCATATTGCACCTTCTCTGGAGTTAGATCTTTGTTCCTGAGTAGTCATTTCTGTTTAGAATGGGAATTGTCATAACGTGGTGCAATTTAAACACCAACAGGCTGAGTTAGTACCTAGAATGGAAGCCTACAAAGAAAACCTTGGTGTTACAAGGCACAGTGTCAATGATACAGCTGGATTATGTTTAAATTACAGGACCCAGAAACATGCCTGGCTTTGTCCCAACTTCCCATCAGGCTGAGACCTAGCTGTGTGCCAGCCTGCATCAGAGAGACAGGGCTCTGGAGTGTGCCACAGCACACAGTCCAAATGTAGTCTAGGCAACTCTTTGCCTTTAAGCCAGGAGTGAAACTTCTCTTTCTTACTCTAGGGGATGTTGTAGAGGCGTCATCGTTCAAAGACGAGAAAAAATGGACCCTACGCCAAATTTGAAGTGGAAGCAGATGCAATTCCAATTGACTTAAGTGGATGATGCACTTTTGCACTATGTTTGAATTATCCCTCTTCTCCTCCCGATTAATGTTGATAATTAATGATCCCACGGTACACCTTTTCCAAGAAGTGGGTTCCCAGGGATGAAGATGCCCTAATGCAATTAAAGAAGTTTTGTCATTATATTGTGTCAATGCAGGATCAGACACCGCAAAGCTTTCTTTTGGGGTAGTTTCTTAGTTTTTTATAAACAGAATGTTGTGTTACAGGACTCATTTTAAGCCAACCCAGAACAGCAAGTGTATATTAGACCGCTACACACAAATTCAGGACATACAGGGAAGAACAGTATTGTACATAAATGAGAAAGTAGGCAAAAAAAAAAGCCAACCCTAATTCTCCTTCTTTAAATAGTACAGATGCTTTTGACCTTGTTTTTGTATTGAATCAGACCATGGCTTTAAATACAGTAAATTGTAATATTACAATTGCAGAATGCAAAAGAAAGGAGTTTTCCTCTGTTTACAATATCATACAGCTGATTTCATAAATACACGTGGAATTTCTTTCTTTTCACGTTAAAGAGCTATGGGAGATAGGTTACCGGCCTGTCAAATATGAAACTAAACAGATGCAAAGTTAAATTAAGAACCTGATGAAAATTGTTTTTATTCAAAAAGGTCCTTGTGGAAATATTAAAATATTGATTTATATGCAGACATTTTTCAGAGATCATCTCCCTTACTGTGATTAGTTCCTATTGCATGTGTATATGTGCAAATATATATATGTGTGTGTGTGTGCGTGTATATATATATGCGCACACACACACACACATATATGTGTATATATATATGCACACACACACACACATATATATATGAGTGTCCATACATGAACGTACAGTATATCAGAGTGTCCTGAAGAGGTTGTTGATCTGATAGCTGGAGCAAAGAATGAAGTGCTGAGGTGCTCATTTAGCCCCCAGGATGTGTTAATTGCTCTGAAATGGAACGGGTATCTTAGTCTACTGTTTTAGCCTTGGCCGTAGCAAGGTTAATACCGGCGCTGCAGAGGCAGGTAAAAGAAAGCTTCAGAATTGTTGTAAGGTGTCAGTACATACTTGGAGGGCGTGAACTATGTATACACGGAGTTGCTGTTATTCTGAAACTACCATAAAGCTTTTTATTTCTCTTAAGGTTCCGATTTTATAAAGACCTCTACAGGAAAAGAAGTTGAAAATGCTACCCTTCCGGTTGGAGTAGTCATGATGCGAGCCATTAGGGACTTCTACTGGCAAACTGGCAACAAGGTAATTCTTATTACCTTTCTAAAAATCAGCCAAACAGGTTTATTCGGAAAGAAACAAGACTAATAGTTTCAAAATACAGAGCATATAAATCCACATATGTTAGCCTCTGTGATAATATGAGCAATAGGTAATGGGACTTCTCTCTCACATTCCTCTTTTCGTTTGTTAACGATTACATAGTTTTCAAAAAAACATCAGGAAGCCTTTTTGCCTTTCCCCCTGTGAACTGCTGTGACTTCATTCCCTGAAAGCACATGCAATCTTAATTCATCCCCTGCTGCATTTGTTTTTGAAAATTTTCTCACCAGTTAAGGTGTTTCAATGGTCATCTCAGGTAATGGTAACTTCAGATCTGAAGTGGACAGTGATCAGCACAGCTCCATAAATTTCAGTGGAGCTGTACAAATTTATAGCCGTTGAGAGTTTGGCCAGTGTACATGGCTGTGTTTTCTGACTTTACCCAAGGGGTAAATTCTACTTTTTTTTCTCCCTTGGCAGAAAGGCGGGACAGTCAAGAGCAAAGCAGAACCGGTGGGATTCAGCTGCCTGGGAGCAGGGATGGGGCAGGGGGAGTGGTATGTCCTGGGACACCCCATGTGTCCGTCAGGTTGCGCTCACATGACATCAGTGGAGGTGGGCAGTAGAGAAGCACTTAGGGCAGGCCCCGTGATGGACTGCCTGTGCCTCTGTCGGTGCACCAGAGCAGGCAGAAAGGAGGAAATTATTCGAGGAAGCCTTAAGCCCCCTTTGCACCTCTTGTATCCTTGGACAACACCCAATGCAGGTGTTTGGCAGCGGGCTCTGTCTGTGCCTGCACCCCGGGGAAAGGAGACCATGTTGTTAACAAGATGCTCTCTCCGTTTCTGGGGACCTCCACAGCTGACCCTTCTGCTGGCAGCCGTTGGTGGTGTGATGTTAGGGCACGGTATGAGTGGTGGGATGGAGTGTGAGCTGCCTTCGATGGGTGCTGAAGCTCGCGGAGCACGTGACAGCAGGTGAGAGGCACGTCCATCTGCTTTCCGTGGTAGTCTAGGTGAGGCCAGTGTGGACGCCTGGGCCGTTTCCCACTCTTCCCTTCCCCAGCCCACATCTGTCTGTGCCGCACAGCAGCTCCAGAAGCTCCCGTAGACTTGCTTATGCAGGAACAGCATCACTGCCAACCTCAGGAAGGTCCCTCAGGCCAGGTGGCTCTCTGCAGCACGTGTGCGGGCTATATGAGCTATGTGCCGAAGGTGAGGCTTTGCTGTGTTAATGCAAGCTTTGTAGATATAATTGGTAATAAATGTTGAATTTACTTTTTGCTTTAAAAGAACGCATTCATGTTATAAAATGTGTTATTAAGAATGAGTGCTTATGTCTGTGTGCATGTGTGTGAGTGAATTAGATGTAAACTGACTTTATATTCTTTTATTAACTGAAGACAATATTATCAGTGACAAGAGATTTCTAAACGGTTTCTTTAACAAACTAATTTTGCTGCTGTAGAGATGCTTTCTAGCAAGGCGTTGGCTGGGAAAAACAGGTTAATGCAGAAATTAAACTTCTTCGAGGAAAGGAACAAGTTGCAGAGTAACATTTATTGAATGATAAGCTGTGTTGGTGATATGAAAAGTGTGCAATATAATGGGAAATAATCTTTTCCTGTCATTATTGAAGGGCATACATAAATTGGTTTTTCTGTTGGGAAAACCCCCAATCCAGAAAAACTTATTACTTTTAATAATACAAGGTGAAGAGAAAATTCTTGAGGAGATGGACTTATTAAGCAAAATAATGAAATGCTGTGAAACAGCAGGAAAGTGGTGACTGGACTTTATACTGCTCTTGAATTAAATGCCCCCCCCACCACCACCTTTTGCGTTTTTATGGAAGTCAGATGTGCCATTTGGAAAGCTGGTAAATGGAAGAGAGGAGAGTTGTCTTTGTCAGCTTTTTTTCCAAAGAAAAGAGCTTTCAGAATTTGCTTAAAGGGGAAGAAATTCTGCATGGTGTTTTTTATTATTTTATTAACTGAGTTTTACTTGGTTTTGCTACAAATTATCTCAAAGAGCTGTAATATTTTCAGGAAGAAATATAAGTGGGAGTTTGATTAGAATTTCTCTTCCTGAGGGAAAACTCATTCATGCTATTTCCATTTATTGTCTAGAAGATGCTTTTCCAGTTGTTGCAGTTTAAATTCCTGTTGGAAATCTAATGTTAACAGATGCATGCATACACTCACTCATCCATCCAACCACATAAACACAGTCTTTGTATTTTGAATTTATCAAGCTTTTCCTGTTATTATTCTTTTTAATCTTATTGGAAATATACTGTTATCAGAATGCTTCAGTGTGAGAGAAGGATTTATTCTATGATGTTTGTTTTTTCTGAAATCACTATAAAAATTACTGAATATATTTAAATGATAGATACTTTTTGATTCTACTAATATATCTATAAGATACGAACAAATCTTCAAGGCAGTGAGGTTTCAGGAGTGTATACACAGAAATCAGAATGATAATTCTTGTAGAAGGAGGCTAAAGGGAAAAGATAAAGGATAAAGATTTACGGTGGAGGGAAATATAGAAAGAATCACTATGTGCTACTACACAGATGGTTCAGATTTTCCTGATATTTGATGCAGAAAGACCTGCTCCCAATTCTCCTTGTTTTTCAAGGTTTTGTAAACTGCTGCACGCCGATTTTTAAACAGGCATTTGACAGCTTTGTGTCACAAGCTCTGTCTGAGGATGAGATATGTTTAAATGGCACGTGACCAAAAGACTGGCGTTAGGGTGGTACCGGTCAATCACCTCATTGCTGGTTCTGCACTGGAGGTTGGATCATGGGATTCAAGATGTGTTTCCCTAAAGACAGGTATTTCCTGGCATGTGTGTGCTGACACACATGGCAGTTCATCTGTCCAAATAGGACACCCGTCTCTTATCAAGGGACTGGAAGTGTATTCAGCATGTGGTGGGAGAGAAGTTTTGCGGTTCCTGGGAAGCACAAAACTTTCTATTTCTGGTGAAGACAGACCCAGTTCAATTCCCGACTGGAAAATGGTTCACAAAGGCAACAAATATTCCATTTGGGTGTATTAATGTTAGTGAAAAATTAAAGCACTAAATAGGTTGGCATTTGCAGCCCGAATCATGTAGAACTGTGGTGCACAGGCTCTGTGTAAAGTACAATCATGTCTTGCTGCTCACCATGAGCCCAGGCACATCACATGTTTTATTTCAGCCTCTTTGATGTATGTTTGTTGTTATATGCTTGCAACATGAGCAGTAGGTGATATTCTGATATCCCAGGTTCTGGCTAAATTCTTTGGCCTAATATTTGCTATTGGCAAAGTCCTCTCTTGGACCTTGAAACCAGCTCCCGACGCTTAGTGAAGTGGAGCCTAAAGTATTACTTCTCTACTTGCTCTCCCTCATGACAGCAAGGAACTGGGCACTGGAGAAAGAGTGAGGAACTCAGAACAGCTGAGGATGAAAATTTTCCTTCGTAGTGCTGACTGGGGCTTGATGGCTCTTAACACTGGTCCAGACTTTGTAGGGTTTACAGTCACATACTTATCCAGAATAGAGTTTGTTATATACACCATGGGTATTTTTAGGCTGCAGGTGCACAAATGTTGGTTGCTCTTCTAGGGATGATAATTACTGAAAATGCATGTATTCCACTTCTTTTTCCTTGATAAAGGTTGGATTTAAACCTGCTGGGGGCATTCGGACAGCAAAAGACGCTATTACTTGGCTTATGCTGGTGAAGGAGGAGCTAGGAGTGGAGTGGCTAAAACCAGAGCTCTTTCGCCTGGGTGCCAGTAGTTTGTTGGAAGATATTGAGAAACAGGTCAGTTATTAACAATTTTCAGATTGATGGAGAGAAAAAGTTATCTTTCTGCATGTGCTGGCTTACTCTTTTTTGCAGAACATGGTTTTTGTCCTATCCGAAAGATAATGGAACATACATCTAATTCATTATTAATGACAAGTTCACTTACAGCCCAGTGTTTTTTTAAATTTGGCCTGTCATTATGCAGCCTGCAATTGCCTGGACCGGGCTCACAAATGCAGTGAGCAGAGAGGCACTGCGATTTGTGCATATGTAGTGTCTTTGGCAAAGGGATGGTAGCGTGCTCACCCGCACTCCTAGCTGTTGGCACTTCAGCTGACCCTCAGAGTCCCTTGCAGACCCTCCACATCACTGTGCTGCAACTGTTCACACTATGTTTCCATGCTATGGAGAAAATCGTGTCTCATTCTACATATGATACTGCTGATAGAGAAGTTTTACATACTGATTGTTTCCCAGGGACAGAGAAGCAATTGCATCCTACAAAGCCTCGTTTTTCTAATTGCTTTTAGTTTTGTGTGGTTAGGTCACAGTGTTACCTGGCAGACAAATAGCATATGAGTTACAATTGCAGGGCAACCTGTGGTTCCCAATAGGAAGAACGGTTCTGACCTACCTCACCAGGATCTCTCCCTGAAGGATGCAGCAGAGATGAAAACATCGTAGTGTCACAAGAATTACTAAACCATGAGGGCTGCTGAACTTCCCTCCCATGTTCATTAAGCCCAGGAGATTAGACGGTATTAGCTCCAAGCAAGAAAAAAGTATACTAGTCCTTGTGCTGTTGCTGCTGGTGGGAGGCCACAAGATGTAAGGGCTTTAGGGGGGAAAAAAGCATCAGTCTGTTCTCTTTCCCCCACTTCCCTGAAAGACATCGTAAGAGATACAGAACAGCTGAAAGATGTCAAGTGAATATTCGTGACTGTTGAAAACCCCCATTTCCCTCTTGCAGTGAGAATACTAACTGGCTTGGTTCGCTGCTGGACCGCCTCTGCCTCGCTCCTGACCTAAAATCGTGTCCCTGGTCATGACAAAGCAGCTTGAGCTTTCCTATTGCCACTGCCATCGCTGCTGAGTCTTACAGGACAGCCAGCGTGTGTGGCATTACTCAGACAGATCCCTGCTTTCTGAGGGGTGTGATCCTTTTACCTGCCAGGAATTGCACTGAGCCCCCAGGCATGATCAAAGCTCTGCTGTACCGTGCCATCTGAAAACATGGAAGATAAAACGCTCCAGTCAAGTAGGTTTATACAAAAATAGAGAAAATGGGGAGATCCCCCAAGTCAGTAGAGTTAAAGAATGGTTGAAAGGAACCATATAAAAGTATAAACAGTATTGGATACATTGAATATTAGATATAAGACTGAAGTCTTCAAAATCAGATTACAGTGAGAGTAAAGTACTGTGTTCTGCCTGGCTCTTTTTGAAAGCTTAGTTAAAAGCAACAAGAATCTTCAGACCCTATGAACAAGTATTAAAAGGTACACTGCATCGTTTCTGTATGCATGCACACACATACACAAACAAATATCCGTTATCTTCATCTGATACACCTTTAATTTGTTACTTTAACACTTTTAAGTTTATAGTCTTATATAAGGCCATCATGATTTTTCTTTTTTCTTGCAGATTTTCCACCATGTGACTGGCAATTATGCAGTTTACCATGACCTGCCAATGGCTTAGACGCAAAATCAGCTCAAGATTACATTTTATAGGAGAGATCTTTAAGAAAATAACATCCAGAAATCTTCTGACAACCATGAGCATATGACAGAATTAAAGGGCCAGTTCTCCCTTCTTCATGTTTTATAGTATTTAAAACTATGCTCAAGTCTGCCAGTTGTGCTTGATCCAAAAGTAGAAAAAATGGTAATTCTGAAATAGTAAATAGTTAATACTTAACAGATTTGCAAAGTTAATCTTGCAAAGTCTTTTTCAGACCAGCCTGAAAAGCTTATTAATGGCAGCACTGAAATACTATGAAAAAGATTTAAGTGGCTTGGTAACACTTTGCAGTTGCAGAATATGAAATATCTCTGGAATGTTTCAGATTGCTAATTAAGAGCTACAGCTCTTGGAACAGCTTTCCATTCACCTCAGACTAAATCTTCTGCCACAGATATGTTGCACTATTAATTGTTATGGTGATTCAGTTTCAAGCATTGCAACCTGAGAAAATGAAACTTGGCTATTACTTTCTTTTATAAAATGTCTTTGTAGCAAAACCCTTTTCTTTTGTATTTCTTTTTCCCAAACTTGGGCACAGACATCCATATTTAGACCCTGGAATAAAGGTGGCTTGATTTCTAGAACAGCTGAGTATCCACAGTTGCTCCTGAAGTTAATGGGAGCTCTGGGTGATCAGAACAACTGAAAATCAAGCAACCTCTATATAGGTGCCTAACTATTCATTCAGGGCCCTATTTTTAGGCATTTCATGCTTAAAATTTTAGTCTAACTTGCTTGGAAGCTCCCGTTCCTGTCTCCACGCACTTTTAAACACATTCATGTAAATCGTTCCATTTTAACATAGGGGTTTTTGACTGTCACTTTGCAGGTGTCACTGCTGTACTGCCTGAACTTCAACTTTGCCATGCTAAAAACGAGTCTTTAATTTAAAAGGTGATCTGAGTTGTGTCCTACACAGGGTTCCCTGTTCTTTCATACCTTTAATGTGAAAAGTACTTTCCTTCAAGCACATTAATAATATCTAAAGCATCAACACCTTTTGATTATCAGACTGCAGCTAGTAGATTCATTATTTCAGAACTGCATTCCACTCACTAACCAGAGTTGTACTAAAAACTTAATTATCTTATCATCGTGACTAGTCTCACTGACTTAAGTAGGTCTCATTAGGGAAGTAAGAGGAGGAAGATTTTGCTGTAAATCAAGCTACAAGGTACATTTATTACAAAATGATCCTTGCTTCATAAAGATAATACTTCAGTTATTTATCTGGTTAAACCACCTGAATTGCTCGTGCTCTGCAAGACATATTGGACAGATAGGAAGGCTGAAATAGGAAAAGAAATTAGAGAATACAGCATATACAGAAAAAATAATCCTATGTACGATGTTCAGTACTAAGAATGTGCTTTAATTTCCTGGGAAGTAGTTCATACAGGGCTTTCTGGCTTTTTCTGGTTTAGATCTCAATATACAAAATTGGGACTCAGTAGACTAAGCTGTGACAATATTTTCACACATTTGTTTTTATGGAAAGTGGCCCTTTTTGCCACAGATTTTCTTTCTGATTTCACTGCAAGTTTCTTGAAGGAAAAATCCAGTGCTTGCTTGCCTATTTAGGGTAAAATTCCGCTTCTGACATTTCAGAAAGAGAGGAGCCTATAACATGAACTCACCTCACATGTTTTGCCTATCGAGTTAACCCTCTGCCATACCATCTCAGCAAGCTCCCACCAGATTTTGCTACTGATCAGATCTAGCCATACAAATGTTTAGAGCGCATTTAATACTTTGCTATAAGAGATTCACCTCACTTGCAAAGTTTTTTTTTTTTTTTTCCAGTTCCCAGGCTATCCAGGCAACGTGTCTGGGAGAGGTTTTTATTCATTTGTTGTCTTTTGGACATTTTGTGAGAATCTGGAAGCTATTTTAAAGAAGCTTCAGTCTCTCAATGAAGAGTTCTATTTAAGTTCTTAAAATTAACTAAGGTCCAGCTTTGCCACTGTAACTGTTTAACATGAGTACCTCTACCCGAGGACCAGCTTCACCGATTTCATGTGAGCTACGTGTGGATTAATGAACTTGCCAAGAAGAAATGTGCCTATTTCTGCTGATATCCCTCCCATTTTGATGTGCCCCTGTGCTGTTGCTGGTTGGTTTGCTTCAGTAGGAACAGACTCTCTTTGTAGAGTGAGAGATTAAGCTAGGTTTAAAAGATGCTCAGCCCTTCCAAAAAGTCTAAGATATCCACTTCCCTTTTTAGTGAATGTAACAAACACACCAGTTTTAAGTACTGTGCAACTCCAAGCCAACCAGTGCTTTGGCAGAAGCCAAAAGGTAGGAGTACTAGGAATATAGTTTATATTTCCAAAATACTAGGAAAGCGTTGTCTCCGCACGTTTTAAGCACTGATGTGTTGAAACCTGTGATTTTTTGAAAAAAGTATCAAAACTCATTCAAAAGATGTCTCTGGTTTTTGTTTTGTTTTGTTTTGGGTTTTTTTTTTTTTTTGAGGAATATGCATACTGCTCAATGTTATGTTGCGACCAGTTTTCCTTGGCTGTTGACTCCTCTGTGGCTTAGGTGGGTTGTATCCATACAGCCTGTGGTTGTGGACCCCAGATTTGATCCAGTCACTCTTCCCTCATTCCTACAGCAGATAAGGTGGGGGAGCAGCCAAAGCAGGCGCTGACAGAAGGGTCCGGTGGCCATCCTGGGCATGGTGAGGGAGCAGCCAGGCCAGGGCTCCTCTGGGGAGCCTGGTCAGGACGGCAGCAGATGGGGCCAGATGCGGGGCTAGAGACGGGCCAGGGGTCTGTCCAGGGGACGAGGTGCCCCAGCGCAGGTCTGGCATCTGTCCGGGAGGTAAAGCCCAAGACAGGGCTGGAGACCAGCGCTGCTGTGGCATCACATGGCCAGGACTGGTGGCCCCAGGCTGGGCTGAAATGGGGACGAGAATCAAGAAATTGCCAATCTAGAAGATTCCATGTCAACTTACTTAGAAGAGCAGGGAATCGGGAGAAAGAGGTTCAGCTTCTATTTTCATGGTTTGTAGGAAGCAAAAAGATACTAAATAGTAATTATATGTGAAGTGTACATATGAGCTGGAGCAAGTAATACTTGTAATACTGATGAAACAAAGATATCAAAGTTCATTCTTTCATTCCCTTTCTGAATCAGAGAATACACGTTATATACCGTAGCACATGCTACCGAGACGGAAAAAATGATCTCCTTTTAATTTTATTTTGCTCCGTTGGAACTTTGGTTCTTTGCTTCCTCTGGGAAAAATACAGCAAGTTGTATCCAAATCTTGGTGAGCTTTTGCTGAAATAACCAGTGCTGACATCTGGATGATATATAAAGAAGTGTGTAGTAGGAGTAGGAGGAGGGAATTGCTTTTAATTAGATTCAACCTGCCCAGGAGAGATAGGCAGAGGAATGTCCATCTGGTCAGTTCTTATTTACTAGGGCAGCCAAGGATAAGAATATTCTTACTATGCAGAGACACAGGAGGCAAAATTCTTACTATGCAGAGACACAGTAGGCACAATGGACATTTTTATTAAAATCCTCAAGAGTCTGAACTGTGCTAATTTAAGCAGTGGGGAGACTTAGCAAAAAGTATCAAAAAAGGGTGCAGACTGCACTCCCTAAAGGCAAGAGTAAGCAAGTGATGGGTGACCATCAAATCCAAACCAGTTATATTGCAGAGACCCTGCCTTTGTTCTAGACAGTTGACAGATCCCTCCCTTTCAGTGAAGACCTGCAGTAAATACTTAACCAAGACAAGTGTGACAAAGTTGTTTTAATATCCTTTAATGAAATTTAACATTGATGCAAGGAGTGCCAACAAGATGCTCCCACCATTCCTAATGAGTCTAGTGATTTTAAGGGCTCTGTTTTGAGCACTGGGGACATCTTGTGGATTTTTAATTCTCAGAAACTGCAGAAAAATCTCATATTCTGGAAGCAAAGCTTTCCTGAGGCATAGCAGTTTCAGATCTCCAAGATTACAAGGGGCATTTGAAAACGCTGTATTGCAAGAGCATCAATTTAAAGTTGCTTCCTTAGTTGAGATGAAAACAAAAGGATTTTCTAAAAAAGAGAAAGGAGCTTTGCGGGCCCCGCTGGGAGAGATTAATGTAGTTTTCATATGGTAGAATGTTGAGTGAAACAAAAACCAAAATGCATGATGGCTTGCCTAAGGAAAAATAAAAAGCGAAACCTCTATAAACTCATTTTTCCACTTCATTAATGGCATGAGATCTGTCTTTATCCAAAGACTTAAAACAAATTACCATCTACTTACTGTTTGTATCTAACAAACAAGTAAACCAACCGGTTTCCTTTCCATGGCTCAGCCAAGACCAGTTTCCTTCCATGCAATGACAAAGATGGTTCAGTCAAGGGTTGCTGTCACTGCCACAGCTGGAGAACCAGCGCCCTAGAGGGGGTGCCGGCAAGGCACGGTGCCTGCCAGCTGCTCACGCCTGCAGACGCTGAACTAGATAGGAAAAGAGTTACTCCAGTAAGGGTGTAAATTTGCATTGCTGGCAAAATAGAGTTGTCCCCCCAAAAGTAGCACTGCTCTGGTAGTCGCCACACCAGACGTAGTTTTTCTGCTCAGCGGGGGAGGACGTGCAGTGGGGCAGCGGTAGCATCTGAATCCCAGTACACCTCGAGGGCTGCCTCGTTCTTTGGTCTGTGTGATAAAAGAAGTGTGACTTTAGGGCTTTGGTGAGCTAGGGTGCAAATCAGGCCTGCAGTCTTACAGGCTGGTAAGTTGCCCCATGGTCGTCAGCGCAGCTGCGTAAGTGGAAGGTGCCAAAACTGTCTTTAGTGATTACTGGTCCATCGAGAATATTTTTTTCTCTAATATTCAGAACTTAGCATCTAGCTTCTGAGGAGAAGCTGGAGAATGTATGTTCTCCATGATTTAATTTAATTACATGTAAGTTGATTAAGGGCGTTATCTTCATTTCCAGAGGAACTGAAACCTTCGGTTGGCACCATGTCTGAGCTCTGGCTG